GTACATACAGCTACATGAAATGCTCCGCAGGTACCCACATGGTGTATTCATAATGGCCCAAAGTCTCAGTGTGGAATGATGTAAACTTCTTGCCTTCAGAGTTCATCATCACTACATGAAGCGAAGAGAGGAAACACTCAGACAGCATAAAAGATTAGTTTAGCCTCCTGATCTGATAATTGAAGCCAACCTGGAAGTGCCTTAAATCTGGAATCTTTTTAAAGGCCACCAATGAACGATAGCTGTGGTTGTTGAAAGACGTCATATCCTATTAAAGCTCAGAGTGTACATAAAGTACATAAAGTTTCATCTAGGGTTTGAGAGTAACAAAATTTCTATTCTCTGTATGTCCTGTACATGTGGCAGAATTGACAAATAAAGTTGACTTTGACTTTGAAGTGTCACTTTATACCTTGGCACATACCTTTGACGTTGCGTGATGAACTCTGTATTCCTCGTCCACATGTAAACGCAAAAAAGGAGTTTTAAAAAAATCTCCGTTTTCGGTGATTCAAAACGCCGTTTACGTGTGGACGAAACAGCTGCGTTTTCAAAAATACCCGTGTAGGTGTGGACTTAGCATAAAAGAGTTAGTAGTTTATTTCCTTACTACCTGTAATTTATTGCAGATTACTTGTATTTGCTTAATTGCTTACTAAATGTTTGAGGTGTGAAATAAACCGCAATGGAGCAAAATATGGGTGTGTGTGGTTGGAGGATGTGTGAGTGCGTGTGCGCAAACATTTTTCTTGTAAAACAAAGGGGGGCCTACCAAAAAAAGTTTGGGAACCACTAATTAATGCCAGAATGTGTGTTGCTCCCAGGGGTCTTCTCCTCCTCCCTCCCTGAAACAAACTGTTTGTATGATTCCCTGCAGCAACCACCTGTCAATCACAGGTGGTCTTCAGGGAATCCCCTCATCTGTTGAAATCCTGAAGCTCTCCTCTCATCCATGCCAGGACATTGCATGGTGACAGGATGAGAAAACAGAGCAGAAATGTGTCAAGAGAGAATTACACTTGCACATAAGAGCTAATTACTGTGGAAAAGGAAGTGGCATGCATGCAGACTGCTGAGACTCCACTGCTGAAATAATCCCACTGGATGCAACAAAAGCTACACAGTGTAACATTAGAAGCAGACACTGTCTGGTCTTACTTAAGAAGAAGATTAACACTTCATACTTAACAGTTCAGGTGTTTTCAGAACAACTTTAGTAAGGTTTACTTTGCACTTCTGAGGTCCTGTGACTACAAGTGTTTGAGAAATGGAGGCAAGTCATAGCCCTTATATGTGTTTAGGGTGGTTGACCATGGCTGTGATACTCTGTGAAAGACGCTGCTGTACAATTTCATCCTTTTACAACTTTTTACGGACAATATATAATTTTGTCATTTAGATGTTTTTATCTAAACACACACTGAATAAACTTCCAAATCCATCTAGGTGGCTAAAAATGCAGTGGTATGGTGTACTTTTCTACTCAAGCTTTTTTTATTTATTTATTTATTTATTTATTTATGAAATTCCACATTCACCAATATTCATCCAAGCTAATCCAGTCTACATCCAAATTTCTTAATTTTAATGTGAATATTTTAATATTCACATACTGATGAACACACCAGAGAGCAACTTGGGGTTCAGTATCTTGTCCAGGACTTTAAGGTCTTTGAGGAGAAAATGTTCACTTATTCCCTAATATATCCCACCCACTAACAGTGGCCGTGATGAAGAGATAGTCAGTGTTATTTGCTACATTTCTAAGTGGTCATAATATTATGCCTTATCAGTGTAAATATGGAACTATAAAATTTGAATACACGGTTGAATTGCAATATCTGACAAAAAAAATCACTCTGGTGCCAGGGCTGATTGACCATTGCATGTTTTGGGGGCTTAAATATCTATTTGTTTTAACCATTGAGTATGATTCATGCATAAATCACTTATTTATGATACAGTATTTGATTTTACTGCAATACCAATAGGTTTCTAATCTTGTAAACTATCTCAAATAACATCCATCAAGTGAACTATCACAATCATGTCATTTTATTTTCATATTCATGATCTAATAACTGATCAGGTTGTCATGCTGACAATGTGCACAGTCAAGTAACACTGATGAAATGGAAACTTTGTTGGTTTCTTTGGTAGTTGGTAATCAGGGTTGGAATTGTAACTCACAAAAAAGTCATGTGTTAGACTTATTGAGAAGACAGGCTGTTTTACAAGAGGGATCTGGTCAAAAAAGCAGTCCTTTATCTTTACATTTTTAAAAGTAACAAGTAATCTAAGGCTGTTTTATTTATGTATTTATTCATTTTACATTACATTCCTGGAGAAATATTAGATTACTTGTTACTTCTGTATTACTCAATAACATGTGCCCATATGCGCTGCCACACATTTATCATTTAAATCCATCCAAATCTAAATCCTTATTCTAATAAGCACAAGTGTGAACATAAAACTGAAAGAAAGCTTAAAACCATCTCAAAGAGAACTTTACAGTGATTGCCAAAGAGATTCTGTAGAAACGGGTATGGATAGAAGTTGAAAAAGACAATTTAGACTGCTATCTCTGCTTTTCTTAACCGTAAAGGTCAGGCTCTGGCTGCTTAACTGGGGTCAGCATGGAGTCAGCTTTGTATTGCCATGCTGCCTTTGCAGGTACTGTGGCTTAGCAGTAGTGGATAGTTGTGTCTATCCAGTGTCCAACCCAGTATCACGGCAAAGCAAGTATGTACATGCTGATCCACCGTGTCCATTTCACGCTTTGCCTATCCAAAACGTGAAATGGGCACGCATGCAGAAATAGCATTACCAGCAAGGGGAAATAATATAGCCACGAAGTCGGTAGTGAGCAAAAAACGTATGAAGTGCATTCCAGGATCCGTAATTGTCAGAAACGATTAAGCTAGGCGGCTGATATGTATGTACATGCAAATGTGTTAATAATGTCTATTTAAACCCTCCCATTATTTTCATGTTGGCTTGAAATAAAATATCTCACTCTGCTGTTACTGCAGTTTACTGCAACTTACTGCAAGCGTGTCCTTTTCACACTTTGGAGAGGCAAAGCGTGAAATAGACATAATCAAATGGCGTATCTATTACATGTTTTGCTGTTTTCTTAGAATGAATGAATGATATTTAATGTCACTATTCATAGTACGGTGAAACTAGCAATTAGTGGGCTTCAGTTACAACGTCAGTATCTACATGAAGATTCATGGGGCTCTACTGCAAACACTACTGGATGGATGCACTGTTTTCAATATCCTTGGTCATGCTGTTGTTAAGCAGTCTCACTTACTAATTTCTTTTATATGGGAGTATTTATACCACTGGGATTTTAAAATGCATTTGTATGTATGGTTTCCTGCTTGAGAAAAGCACTTAAAACCTTTTTCCCCATGTGCTTCAGTGCCTTTAACTGACCCTTGCTAATTTGCATAAAGGCCCTTAAGGTCTGACCTGAGTTTGAACCCAGCAGGAAATCGCAAATCCAATCTCAGAATGCCTCTCAGATGCCCCATCACCCTCCCCCTTTATTACAGATACAAACTCAGCGTGAGTGAAGCCATAAAACAAATGAGCTAGTGCTCCCAGATAGCATCTCCTTCAGTACACACGTTCAGATGTAGCTACACAAATCAAAAAGTGTCAACAGTTTGTGCAGAATACAGCACTTTTGATATTCAGTTTGTAAGCCAGCTTGAGTGAAGCTTCACCTTTATATCCTACTACCTATAGGAGAGCCTTCTCTGCAGCTGAAGTGCATAGATCCAGGGGCTATTACCTGTAATGAATCACTACCTTCTCACATCATGTCTTGCCCAGCTTGATAATGGCTCCTCAACACTTTCAGCGTAATCTGTTCCCATCACCGGCAAAATGGGGGAGGGGCGGGGGGGTGTAGATGTTGCTGTCGTTCGAGAGGGGGGGGGGGGGGGGGGGGGGGGGTGCTGCAACCTATCATCTGCCAGGATTATTTCAGGTGCTGCCATGTCAAACGCCTTCCTCCTCAAATTATCATTTTTATTAGAACATAGGGAGAGAAGTGGGTTGTTTACAGGACAACCCTAACCCCTCTCCACCACTGCCACCCAATGTCTTTACTGCATGGGAAGAGAAATGACCCCAGCCTTGCACGGGTAAGCAGCAGTACAAAGACCTGGATTTAGAAACAGAGCTACAAAGTCAACTGCTGCTCTATTTTTCCTAGAGACACTTTAAGAAATATCAGTTGTCAGACAGTGATTTGATTTGGAGAAATTTAATACATGGTCAAATCTTCATTACACCGCAAAATGTACAATATTAGGTTTTCAGCAAAAAAAGAAGAAAAAAAATCTTGAGTTACCACATTATGAGATCCCATTGAATAGATAAATATTCTAAGCCGAAGTTTTTGAACCACATTATTGTGTGTGAGCACTGAACAGTCTAACATGTTGTTAGGACACTGAGCAGCTCTTGTAATTTAATGCATTTAAGACTAGAAGTACCTAACATATGCCCATCTAGCTGAGCAGAGCGCAAGTGAGTAAAAACAAATAACTAGACATAAGAAATATCAAAGAAATCTGTTTTTGTTTTTTGTGTCTAAACAAAAACAAAATCTATTTTGTATTCAAATTTTTCTCATTTTCTTCCATGTCTTATAGAAAAAAAAGTAAAGCAATAATTGGATGTTAGATTATGGGATTATTTAAAGTCTGTAGTTTAAGTACAGACTGTAAGTTAAGTCAGTTTTAGTGATGGAGTTTTTGTTATCTATGAACTCTAGCTTAAAAGCTGTGTGTGTTGTGAGGATGCATGAATAAATTGCTGAAACTGTCTTCTTATATTCCAAAATGTAAAATGGATTTTGTTTACTCAGCGGTTTCAGTAACAAACACTTGACTCCAGATGGTTGTGATCATTTATAGCTCTCCCTCTTTCTCTCTCTCTATCTACCACTGTCTTTCCCCCTGTCTCCCCTCCTCCAGGCAGCATTGTGTATCTGGGGATGATGTTTGGAGCCTTTTTCTGGGGTGGCCTCTCAGACAAAGTGGGCCGCAGACAGTGCCTGCTTATATCCATGTCAGTCAACGGCTTCTTTGCCTTCCTTTCCTCCTTTGTCCAGGGCTACAGTATGTTCCTCTTCTGCCGCATGGTGTCTGGCTTCGGGTAAGTTTGTTTAACTTTCCTCTTCTCACGCTCCTGCAGACCCTCTGATCTATCTTCCCACCACTTCCTCTGCTGTCTCTCCTCCTCCAAATTCAAAACACATGACAAGAGTTATACTAACTGCCAGGCATCAGCTCTTCCTCATACCCAGGGGTATAGAAGAAATAAAGCAAAAGAGAAAGGTCTGCAGAAATCAGCTAGTACTGTAAATGAACATCTGGGTGTTTTAATGCTAGCATGGTCTGCTTGGCTGCACAGATCTTTGACAGCCCTCCCATCTCAGTGACATGATATCCTTTTTAGATTGTATAGTGTATGAACATTTAGATCAAGTTGTGATGGCTTAAGCTGGTGCTGCTTCATGACTAGACCAAAATGGATATTCAAATCAGAATGGGCCACAGTGCCTGAGGGCATTCATGATTGGTTTACCTGAGCTGCACTCAGCTCTTGTGCATTTAATTACAGTTCTGTAAGCAACCAGTAAACCTCACATCATCTGAAAAACAGCTTCTGCCTTAATGGCTTTAAAATTTCATTAGCAGCTTTAGCTTTTATGTCACCACTAGTTGTCAATCTTTATGCAGAAAGTAGTCTATGGTGTGGGATGGTATCTATGATTGTACATATACCTTTGGGAATAACAACAAAGAGGCATTGCTTTGTAAGGGGTCACTGAGATCTTCTGCTTTCTTTTCCATCCTCATTCTGGCAGAAATACGATCTGGCATCCAGTGCTGTGTGTTTCACTGTTCCTTTCATTGAGTTTTTCCTACCTTATTAGCGTTGCTATCAGAAGCTGTCTCAGCAAATAGGAAAAGACATTCACAGCACAGTGCCATAATGAAAAATAAATATAAGAATTCACACAGATTAAGTTTTAGTGCAATTTTACTTAATGTTCTAAACCAGTCTGTCATATCAGTCACTCCTCTGGCAAAACCTTAAACAGGTTTTGACATTTTTAGAATGAATATCATAGACAATTATTTTCATACATATATAACCTTTTACTGTAAGTTTCTCCCACGCAGACATAAAAGAAGCAGGACAAAAGGCACAACCCAATCTCATCAGATTCTCGGGTGTCACCACAATCTTGAATATTTACTGGATACTTTATACATGGTTGGTTTTTTTGTTTTTGAGAATTGAAAACAAGCCATATACATTTTCATTTGCTTTAAGCCTTTTTGCAGTTACGCAGTTTCTATGAATATGTAATGTTGATGATCTGAAAAGGGTTTGATTTTGATTTATTTACTTTATCTTAAATGGAAAGGGGTGTACCCCACCTCTAATTAAGTGTTAGGACAGGCTCTATCACCTCATCTTAGATGTATAAGCACTTTGAAAAATTTATGAATAAATGGATGAATTATTTAATATTGGCATTTTTCAGGTAATACAAAGCATATGGCAATGCAGATTCTTTACTTGTTCCTCATGAGTTAGCGCTTAGTTTCTACATGTAGTGAGAAATTAAAATGTCACAGATGGCTGCTCAAGTGAGAAATTTGGGATATAACAGCTACAGCTCAGATCAGACTTTAAAGGAGAAGTTCAACATTTTCAATACATGCTATCTTTGTTTTTCTCCAAAGCCATCTATCCATATTAAATTCAGCTAATTAATGTTGAAATGAATCAGAAACAAATGTATAATAATAAAAGAAATGCTGATTGCTCTTTATCTGCTTCTCATTTGCAACACTGTAGTCAACCATAAAACTGACAGTAAAACCAGTGCATCTCAAAAAGTTGTGCATAGATGAACATACCTTTCAGAAGTTTTTGTATTGTTAATGCTTTTTTTATTGATCTGTAGAAATAACTAATACATTATCAGATACTGTATTTTCATGAACTATGAGCCATTATCATCAAAATTAAAACAAAAAGGCTTCGTGTTGAATGATTACATGAAAATGTAACTTTCTGAAATAAATTATGAAAAAAAAACCTTTTTGATGATATTCTAATTTTAAGAGATACACTAGTAAGATTTGCCATTTGGTTTTTTTCCTCTTCAAATATGTACGACACTCTGAGGCTATGAAAAAACATGGGGACAGTTACTGCAGTCACAGATGGGCTCCTTCTGACTCTACTGACACCTCACTGAAAGGGTTCAGTTCAGTGCACCTATCCCTCACATCAACACAAGATACAACAGCGTACTAATATGGAACTATGCAATTTGAGACATGTTCACTATGTTAAATTTAAAGGCCACACAACCTGTGATTCTGGAAAATGATATAATAAGCAAGTTTGATAGAAAGCAGCAAAGATGGCTCAAAGACTGTAATATCCTGTGTGCTACAGTGTGGTGATTTTTCATTTTCTTTGGTCAAGAAGATGACAGTATAGTTTGTGCAAATAAATACTAAGCTGCAGTGGAAAGTGCCGTTGCCTCCTGATGATCTGGTAAGACTCAGAAAATAAGCCAGAATAGTGTAGAATCTGCTTTGTGACACGAATGAACAAAAAATGTGCGAAGACATGTTCTAAAAAAAGTTTCAGACGTTTGTACATTTCACAGTGACAAATGAAGAAATGTTTTCTGTAACAATAAATCAGTTTCATATTGTGATAAATGTTCATTGTTGCAAGCGCTGATGAGGCAAATGAGGATTGCCTTTTTGAGCATGCATAGCTAATTACAACAAGCTGTATTTACAGGATCGGTGGAGCAGTACCGATAGTATTCTCATACTTTGCGGAGGTGTTGGCTCGCGAGAAGAGAGGAGAGCATCTGAGCTGGCTGTGCATGTTCTGGATGATTGGAGGAATTTATGCCTCAGCCATGGCCTGGGCTATCATCCCACACTATGGTGAGTGACAAGATGTACCACTTCTAAAAAAGGTTGCATTAACATGACAGCAAAGCAGCACTAAAGGGAAATCATTAAAGTGATCGAAGAAATTTGCCATAAAAATGTTAAAGTTTATTATTACATTTTCCCACCTCATAATATTGCTCCTTTATTTTATATTTTTGCTTTTTTTTTTTTAATATTATCAAGTTGGTAGAGTTTACAATGAACAGATAACCCAACCAGATTTAGGAAGTAATTCCAATTCAATGCAATTCAATTCAGTTATCTCAAGGTCTTTTATATTGTAAGGTAGAGACTGTGTCAATAGTACAGAGAAAATCCCAACAATCAGACGACCCTCTGACCACTTAACGAAGGTTGGATGGAAAAACTCCCTTTTAACAGGAGGCGGTCATCGTGTGACTGGTTCTGGGAAGAGGGAAGGAGACAGGACAGAAGTTAGGTGAGATGATCGCAGTGAAGAAAGGCCAGATGTTTTAACATTGAGTCCAATGTGGACATACCCTGAACTGGGATTTGTTTCAATGGCCAGCAGAGGGCAAATGCTCTGGTTGCCAAAATGAAACGATTGTACAGACGTAGAAAGAAAACAGCCCTTGTCTTCCTTAATTCCTTCCTTAGACACTATCTCTACTTTTAAGATTAGGCTTAAAACTTTCCTTTTTGCTAAAGCATATAGTTTTGGCTGGATCAGGTGACCCTGAATCCTCCCTTAGTTATGCTTTTATGCTTTAATCCCATGATGCACTGAGTATTTCTTCTTCAGTCACCTTTCTCACTCGCTATGTGTTAATAGACCTCTCTCCACTGAATCATACTTGTTATTAATGTCTGGCTCTCTTCCACAGCATGTCTTTTATCCTGTCTTCCTTCTCTCTCCCCAGCCAGTTGCAGAAGATGGCCGCCCCTCCCTGAGCCTGGTTCTGCCGGAGGTTTCTTCCTGTTAAAGTTTTTCCTTCCCGCTGTTACCAAAGTGCTTGCTCATAGGGTGTCATATGATTGTTGGGTTTTTTTTTTCTTTATGTATTATTGTTTGGTCTAGGTTGCAATATAAAGTGCTTTGAGACGATGTTGTTGTGATTTGCCATGGTATAAATAAAATTGAATTGAACTGAATTGTTAAAACAGAACTGAACAGAAATGAAGTTGATGACGAATACCTGGACAATAACATCGTAGTTACTGGCAGGTTTTAGGTATGTTAACAGATGGTTTCATTTAACCACCTGCAAAATATGTGTTTTAAGTAATTGCCTGCTGGTGAAAAATATGAAATATTATGCAAAATATTACAAAGCATCTACATAGTTAACCTTACTGGCTATTTTCCAGTTTCAAGGCCCGTTAGAGGGTAGCTTATCTTTTGTTTGTCTGTGAAGGTTCTCAGTCATCCAGGTCATCGTAGTCTAAGGAGCTTGGAAAGAAAAGCGTCTGGACTTCTTTAAGTTGCTTGAAGACTGTTTCACCTCTCATCCGAGAAGCTTCTTCAGTTCTAAGGTCAAATGGTGGAGAGTCCCAGATTTAAACCCAGTGGGAGTTTCCCCCCAAAGAGGGACAAAGGACCCCCTGATGATCCTCTACCTAATCACATGAGCCAAGGTGTGAAAATGGGTGTGGGTCACAATCAGCCAGGGTTTCGGGTGAGCTCATTGTGAAACCTGGACCCACCCTATAGGGCTTTGGAGTGTGATGTCACAGGGGTGGGCGTGGAAAGGATTTTGGCCTGATGCACCATTTTCCGGGTCCAAACAAAGCGCAAGCGAAAAAGGAGCGAAGGCACACACAACAGGTTCGTCCTTGCTGTGTGGTCGGCTGCAATGTTCGATCGCATGACCGGCACGGGAATGAGCTTAAAAAGTGTTTGTCTTTTTATTCTTTCCCAACCTGAAAGCAACATGAGGGAGCTTATATGGCGGACCTTAAAAAATGAAGGCGTCTAGCCTGGATAGCAGCCGTGAGATGAGCTGATATCCAGTTTGCTTCCATCTCCAGATATCTGTTGGTGTTCTCCAGACATTTTCACTCCGGTTCTATATATGTTCATATCACTCTTTATAGCTTAATAATATTATTGTTGGGGCTCTCGGAGGTTTTAGAAATTGCGAACAAACATAGAATTGAGTGACTGTGCAGACATACGTGCTACGTAACAATTTGCTAATTCTTTCGCACAACTGTAGGGAAGCCTGCCTATGAAATGGATCAAACAAATCCAGACTGGGTACCAACGTTACACATGGGGCACTCAGAAATGCGAACGTGATGGTTAAGGTTAACAAGATACGTGAAGATATTGGGGTAGGACAGTGGCAGTAAGTCGTCTGGGTCTTTACTCCACTGCCGAATTTCATATGGGTCCACATTTGCGATGCACTCTATTTTTTTTTTTTCAAGTATCGCTGCTTCGCCTCTGGACGCAATCGGTCTCTATACCGTCCGTTTTCTTTTGAGCTGCTTTTAAGCATATTTCTTGTCGTCGTCATTCCAACACAGTGTGTTTGTTTTGATTTGTGGACCCGGAAAATGGCACCGCGCTCCCACAATACATTGCAGCGTGACGTCAACTCCAAAGCCCTATCATCTGATTTCCTGAGGTCAGATGGCCCAGGGTGTGAGTGGGCATTAAGGCGTCTGGGAAGGGATCTCAAAACTGGATTATAGATGGCAGA